GACATGACAACAGCAGTGAAGCGGAACAACAGAGACGGCTTACCTCTAGCAGGAGCTTTGAACACAGGCAGGTCTAAACCAGCCTCCTGATGTTTGCCTCTCTATGAAATTGCATTCAGTCTTTGGGGGGAAAAAAGGGAAACAACATGGCATCAGTATCTCAGTTCACGAGGCGAATACAATCAAACTGTGCGTTTCAAAACCTAGAGAGGGGTGTGATAGAGCATTTTAACGAGGAATTTTCTGAATCAAATTCAACCCGTTCAGTCAAAAATATTTACTCAGAAACTAAAAATTGTAGTGCCACAAAAGTTCTGCTTTGGCCATGTTCTAAATTTGTTGACAAAACTGGAAGACGAAGGAGACAACACTATGTATTGAATGCAACCAAAGTCCCTTTAAGGCAAGTCATTTCACTTGATGGCCATCTTTGAAATGGCTCTCAGGCAGTATGCTCAGGCATTTTGTTTGAATGGGGAAACATGAAATTCTTCAAAACTGCTTGCCAAGCTTACGAAGAAATTTCATATTAAGAATCGACAATAGAATTAAACAACAACTGTCCCTGCAGTTTCATTTCTAAACGTTCGAATTACACAAAACCTGCAAAAACTCACGTCTAGTCCGAGCCTCTCCTCCTGTGTATCATCAATCTATAGCAATTAATAATTAGCTACTGTACTAGAAGGAAGGCTTTATTCGCCATATAGCAATCGACGATTGGCTCCTGTACTATTCACCGTATTGACTGTTACACCTATCCCCCAGTCAAAACAATAAGAGTGACATGTCTAGTGTATTCAATAGTCTTTTAAGTAACTCACTATTAAGCAGGTCGCACACCAGAAGCGCCGCTCGGCAGCGCCACACAGCGCCATGCATTTTAGAATTCTAAACATAGGTTTCTATCAGGATACACACACCGGCGCCGCAAGTCGGCGGCTGTCGGCGACGCCCGGCCACGGCTCAGGACGCAGTTCATTTTTCAGCCGCGCCACAGATCGCCATCTGATTAGTTTCATGTTAAATGTCATTCGAATTTGTGGAAGAGGTGTGTCTGAGTGCGGTTCACTTTGGCTTTGGTGCAATACGCATGTGAGTGCAAAAAGCACCAGAGCCCGAAACTTAAAGCAAGACGTGACTTTTAAGGCACGGTCTCATATGGATTTATTAATCATTCTTACTGTTCAATGAACGCAAACTGTCATAGATTATTAACTAGGTAAACCCCTCACTGCACCACAGCTGCACCTTTAGCAAACCTCCTATTTCCTGCAGCAGGAGGACTTTATGATTGTTTATGAGCGTCAAGTGGCGGATCTGTTCGGCGAAATATTTGAGTGCATGTCACTGCATATCAAACAACTTAAACGATATAACAACCAGAAATCTCCACTGTGCTGAGCGAGAGCGCTTACTGAACAGCGCATAATCCATGACGTAAGCATGCCCATGCCCGAATGCAATGCGAGTGCATTCTACCAGAAACGTACATTATCTGTCCCTGAAATACAATCAGAAATACAGCGAATAAATGGTTGATTTCTGAGAGTTGTTTTGTAAAGGAATATGTCATTCATTTGGTTATCAGACTTTTTCTATATTAAAAACACTTTACACTGTACAAACTCTGATATTGTCCATGTCCTCAGCCAAATTGAACCTACAGCTTTAATAGTTTTGCGAACCAAAAAACTGTTATATAGAAGAAAAACAACCTTCAGAAATAGCAAGTTTAAGCTGTTGTCATTCACATCAATTGGTTAAAAACAAGAAATTATTAATAAATTTTACAAATAAAAACTACAAATCTAAATTTGAAGTCAGAATCATTAACCCCCCTGAATTATTAGCTAATGTTTATTTTTCCTCCACTTTCTGTTTAACGGAGAGCTGATTTTTTTCCCCAACACATTTCTAAACATAAAATTTTTAATAACTCATCTCTAACAACTAATTTATTTTATCTTTGCCATGATGACAGTAAATAATATTTGACTAGATATTTTTCAGGACACTTCTATACAGCTGACTTTTTCAGGACACTTCTATACAACTTCTATAAAGTGACATTCAAAGGCTTATCTAGGTTAATTAGGTTAACCTAGGCAGGTTAGGGCAAGTTATTGTATAACGATGGTTTGTTGTGTAGACTATCGAAAAAAAATAATGCTTAAAGGGGCTAATAATTTTGACCTTAAAATGGTTTTAAAAAATTAGAAACTGCTTTTATTCTAGCCGAAATAAAACAAATAAGACTTTCTCCAGAAAAAAAAGACATACTTTAAATATTTCCCAAATTATGTTAAACAGAGCAAGGAAATTTTCAAAGGAGAAAAAAATCAAAATCAAAGGGGGGTTAATAATTTTGATTTCAACTGTATAATACAAATGAATTTACAATTGTCCTCATGTTTCGGTCAGTCCTGTCACATTTGCATTAAACTGAATATAAAATGCATGCAATACACGTTTAAGGCTATGACTCAGAAGTGAGATAATTTGACAGAGGTTTTACTTTATTTATACTGTGAAATTGTTGAAGAGTAAAAAAAATTTTAGATAAGTTCTCATTATTATAACACTTTTTTTTGGCTACTCTGTTAATTCCTAAAATCATTGGATGTAGAAATGCTGAACAATATGATTTGTGTATCTATTTTTTTTTACCATTGTTATATCAGTTTATTTTTAATGTTTTACCTTTTATATTGTATGTTTGTTCCTGATGGTTTATGCAATAATAAAAAAATTAAAATTAATTTTTTTATAAGTAAAAATGTATGTTTCTGGTAGAATGTCCCCTATACCAACACTGAGGAGAGGAAACCATTGAATTAACTCCTTATTTTGGTTTATGTGGACACACAAGTATTCTCATAGCTTCAGTGGCTCCATCAGAACCTTGTGAATATGAAATGTTATGAGGATGTTCTTTGACAGGACTTTGAATGAATATGAACCATTGCTGTCTGTGTAGGATGACGGGGTATCTCAAATTTCATGTTAAGTATCTTAATATGTATTTTGAAGACAAAGGTCTTCAGGGTTTCTGCAGACTTTAGACTTTATGTTAGACTTTAAGACCATTATGAATGAAATTTTAGACTTATACGGGGCAAAACACTAAGGATTTTTTGAATGATCCGATTACTTCTGTAAATAGTTTTTGTATTAATGCAAGACCATTTAAAAGGATGTGTTGTTTTAGTTTTCTTTCCTTCATTAGGGAAAATAAATTCGGAGAATTTGCTGTGAAAATGTCTAACAGCTGTCTAAAAGCTATACAAATTTTAAGATGGATTATTGGTGATTGGGTGTTGCCCAGATTGGGTAGCTTTACGTGGCCATAGGGAAATTAAGACCAGTTTAAAATGATTAACTGAAATGAAAATGATTCACTCAATATTTCAGTTTAGGCCTTTTTGAGGCCTAAAATTTAGATTTTTGAAATTGAAGGCATTTTAAGACTTTTGAAACCACAGATACCCTGTGGTAAACTTGTGGGATTGGAATGACATGAGGGAGATTAATTAATAACATAATATAATTTTTTGGGGTGAACTAACCCTTTAAACTCGCACAATGAGACTTGTTAGGAAGTCAGGACCATTTGAATTAATGGCCTTCACATGATTTTTTTTTTTTTTACTCTGGTTGTGTTTGTAACTCTGTTTGCATTGTATGAATCACGTTTAGACTTAATAATATTTAATATTCTACTGAAAACAAACAAAGACATCCATATTGGATGTCTTGAGGATGCGCAAACTAACAGCATTTTTTTTGGGTGAACTATTTCTTTAATAGATCAATTAAATAAACGACACATTGACTGATTAATATGCACATTTCTGTGAACCAATTTAAAAGATTCGAGTCACTGTCTGTGACGAATCAACATCCTCGCCACTAATGCGAATCAAAGGTTTGAACGCACTTATAATCCCAAAACCACTGTCTAGATGAGCTGATCAGTAGATTTCGAAATAAACCCGTCATAAATAACATATGTGTCTGTATGAGGTGGCATCAAACAGCTCATAACCATGACTAACGGTAATTAGCCAGCTGGCTAACATGGGGGGCTTTAAATTTTGCAGGACGAGCAGCAAAAACACCGGTAAACGTCACGAACAACACTTATAACATACAAACATTCACAACGTTACATAGCAATGCAATAACAACAGCTATTTTATTCGCAAAACAGCCCTAACGACGATTAATTATTCAGTGCGTATTGTAAAAAGCCTAAAGCTGTTGTGTTATAACAGGTTAGCACTGGGACAGAAATCGCTGCGTACCGCTAAACTACTGTCTGGATGCGTTTACAACAACATTATCACATTTTTTGCCGTTGGATTGAAATAATAATACATTTCATCGTGCAGACGCTTACCTGATATCCAGATCTGTTGTTATAGAAATGTGATCTCTTCCGGATGGCCACCAAACACCAGCAGGATGGAGAAATAAAGAGTTGAAAGCTGCTGTATGTCAGACGGCGAGTTCAAACTGGCTCTCTGTTGTCTTTGATATAACACGCGGTGGCGCCGCCCGCTGGACAACTGCGGTAGCGCACAGTGTTTGCTAAAACCCCCACAGCGCTCTTTAGGGGCACTAACCCATTTATTCAGTGGTTTTCGTCCAAATTTAGAGCAGTAATCGCCAGCAGGTGATTTTTTTTCAATGTGAAGGACCCAGTAGCTCCGTTTGAAGATGCGTCTAAAATTCTGTAGCGCGTTTGTGTGACGGTCACATTTATGAGGCACGTGCGAACAGGATTTAGGAAGATAAAAAAACACTATCAGTCTTTCAAGATGGAGTATTTTTGTGTTTAACCAGCTGGCCTTCACTGACAATCTCCTATAATCCCAAATCCTCACCCTAGCCAGTCTTTATAATCTCTGTCAATGCAAATGTGAACATCTCACGACCAAAACATCCATAAAATACTCAGATGTCAGAGCGGGGAAAAAGCCAGTTGCTAGAGAAAATGATTGTTTAATATGTTTATTAATGATCTCTTGTTTTACCTTTCCATACATACATTTTATATAAAACAACTTCATTGCTTTTTAGATTCAAATACAAGTCAGTTTTTATAATATCAATGCAAATGTGAGCACATCACAACCAAAACAACTCTTATTTGGCCACACTAAAGAAGAAAATAAAACAAGCTCCCAGTGAAAACACTTTAATATGCTTTTACTTTAGTGCATTTCATACAAAACAAATGTGTTGCTTTTTAAATTTAAATACGATTAACGAGACAAACATAAGGAGTACAACATGCATACAAAAATACTCCAGTGACAGCATATAACAATGTGCACATACAACAATGAACTCATAGCTCACATATAGGCACATGAATATAATATTCAGCATTAAACCAGCAAGCAGCACTGGTGCTTTTTTTAAGTGCGTTTGTTTTTGTAGTATCAGCATCTTATCATGAGCCACAACGGTGAATATAAAGCCTGAGGAGACAGCAGATCATGTTTCTTATTACTGAATTAAAGGCTTTTAATATGAAGAACCAATTATCTCTGGACAGTCTAGCACTTAAACATTTAATGTGTATTATATACTGTCCATAAAAGAGCTATTTGCTTTGTAAGATCAGATTTAAAATGCCAAATACGATTGTGCGCAACTCAGTATCTTTGGAGTAATTTGTGGTCTGGCCCTAAACATTGAGAACGGCCTAATAGGCGAAGCGCTGGCTCTGCCTGTAGCCCAGCTTGTCCAGGTTTGGATTACAGGCGAACTGGATCATAGGAGGTGGACCACACATCAGGATCATAGAGTCATCACTGGGTGGAGGAAGATGGTCCTGAATCATCTCAGCGCTGATGAAGCCCTGACTGTACTCCCAATCTGCACACAAGTTAATACAGGTAGATGTTGAATGAAGGGCAAATATGAGAAATTAAACATCTATTTGAAAAAAAAAAAAAACTCACGTCAAGTTAAATTCTGTACTGGTTAAATAAAATAAAAAAAGTACAGTTACATTCAGAATAGATTTTAAAGTATTGTTACTCGTATATAAATCACTAAATGGCCTAGGACCTCAATACATTACAGATATGCTCACTGAATACAAACCAAATAGATCACTCATATCTATAGGATCAAATAAACTAGAAATTGCAAGAGTTCAATCAAAACAGGTTGAATCTACTACACCCCCTGCTGCTGGAATTAGCTTCCAGAAATGATCAGATGTGCTCCAACATTATACAAATCAAGACTGAAAACACATCTGTTGAGCTGTGCTTTTACTGAATGAGTACTGTGCTGTGTACGACAGATTGCACTATTATGTCTTTCTTTTTTTTTTCATTCTTTTAACACTGTTTTTAATAATTTTTATTATTTGTTTTTATTCTCTTATACTTGTCCCTTTTATTCCTGTTTATGTAAAGCACTTGAATTGCCACTGTGTATGAAATGTGCTATATAAATAAACTTGTCTTGCCTAAAATATTCAAGTTTAAATTAAAAACAATTTTATTTGTAACCAATTTAAACATTAATGATAACGTGACTAAGGTAAAATGATCTTTAAAAAAATAAAATAAATAAAATAAATAAATAAATAAATAATAATAAATATTAAATAAACAAATCTGGTCGGGAGCAGGTTCAATTCATATAAACAGGATTCGATCGGGTCAGTTCAAGCAATTAAGCAGTTATATATAACTTATGCAATCTGCACCCCCGAAATGAAAGTACAAAGACTGCTACCAGGCGGTGCAAAGAGAAAACTTATTGATATGAACTTTTTAGATCGCTTTAGTACAATTTGTACTAATACTAATTAATTGTATAACTGTATTATAATACTAATAATTGTGATAATAGACATGCACAATATGTGACTTTTTTTAAAAGTAATAACCATGTTTTGACAGTTAATATGAAAGGGATTTGTTGATTCACAAAAGTTGCAGACGCCTTTACCAATATCAAAATGCTTCTGTAAACATCCAGTTATTCTTTACACTGATTAAAAGACCGGCTACAATAATACTACTATAATAAGGAAAATCCACTCTGTAACTGTAAAACTAAATAAATTGCTCATGACACATAAGAGGGCCAAGCATGCAGCCCACAACAAGGTGTAAAGTTATTGCGTATCATATGTAACAAAACGTTTACTACTAATTTTATGTAATTTTGCTCACCTGGATAATTGAACATTAATCAGATGATGTCATTAGGCTGCTGTGCCGTCAGCCAATCGTTGCATTGCTGATTATGATTGAGGATTGATAGATCTGTCCTTCACAACACGCGCAGCTATCTCAGATCAGTTAATGCAGACATTTTAATCTGATTCACAAACTAGTTTGAAGAACCAAATTAGCCAGAGATCAGTTATCAAGATTAAAAAATCCAGGATCTGCCAAATCATCTTAGATCTTTTAAGTGAGCTACGAAGAACAGACCCCTGGTCGTACAGTTTGTGGTTGCTTGTATACATTTAGCCCTTATAAGAAAACAAATTGCACAACTGACGTTATTTTAAATGCAATGTTATATCAGCCATACTACTGACTCTAGCCAGGAAGTAGCTATATTCATCACTTCTGGGGTTCCCAGACATTGCATTATGGCTTGCGCTATTTGGAGCATGTTTCTGCATTTGCATGTGTTGTGAGAATTTGCGTGCACGCAAGATTTTTCTCAATATGTGAGTGTTTTTTTATTTGCATGTGTTTTCTTAGCTTTAAATTAGGTACTTTAAACTGTAGTGAAAATCAATATCAAAGATTGATTGTATGAGACCTTTGTCAGTAACAATGATAAACAACAATGCACTTATACCTGCAGGAGCTCGGTCCACGGTGAACCAGAGTTTGAAGCGATCAGAATGCCTGGCCTGAATCTCCTCCAGCTCATCCTTCAGCAGAATGTCCTTCTTAGTCTGGAAGGCAGACGAGAGGTAAACAGATTCATCATGTTATTTAACCTGTCTGAACATTTCTATTAACAAGTGTTGAACTGCGTTTCCTCTGAGCACTCATTTTATAGAGCCAGCTGAAGACCTATACTCAGAGTCATCCACGTCTGATCACTGATGAATATGCAGTTTAATGGATTTGGCTTTAACGGGGCTTTTTGTAATCTTTTGTTTATAGACAACTAACTCCATCATGCTCTTAAAGGGCAAAATCAAGTGCCTTGGAATGTGCAGCTTTAATTGATGCGTGACATAAAGTTAAACATTAAGACAGGATGAGACGTATAGAAAAGCTCCTCCTTACTTAAAAAAATAGCCAATAGCGTATTTATATTACAGTTGGGCCAGCCGGAGTTATTGAGCAAAAGCACATCTGACTCATGACAGCCACAATCTAATAGCCATATTGAGTTGCCTAACATTTCTCCCACTTCAAAATACAGAAGGAATTCTAATGGGTGCATTACAGTTTGTGATCTGCATTGACTCATTTATATGATCGTTTCAGTATCCTGGCTTTTGGGTGTCCTTTGAATAATAAACATGAAGTTCAGATTAACATGCTGTCTGGTACCGTTTAGAATTTTTCTTACATATATAAGTGTTTAGATGAGCCCTCTGTTTGAGCACTTAATTAATAAGTCCAAATTCAGTGCATCTTGTAAAGGGAAGAAACACTTATGGTACCAAAGAACATTTAATTGGTCACAAGATTTGATAAAAATCTGAAGTGTACGGTGATATCACAAAACTGTGTTGATCCATATTAGGGAAGTGGGACCTTTCAAGGTTTGAATGTTTCAAATGTGAGTTTAGTCATTACTTTAGATAATTTCCAAAAGAAAATACATATATAAATTACATAATCTCTCATATAGAAAGAGACTTTCAGATCTTGCATATGCTCTGTCTTTTCTTCCCTTTAACAACAACAAAAACAACAACTATAAACAGTAAAACACAGGGAGCTACAAATCCTTTAGAAATTTGCCTTTAAAGAAGAAAAGATACATATTTAGACACATAAAATTACATTTAAAAGTTACAATTCAAGATAAATTCAGGCAAATAGGTGAAATATACTCAATCCATTTACTCCAAATTAGAAAAAAGTATTCAGTCTGTGTTCTTAATGAAAAAAGGTCATCGTTTCATGACATACATAGTGTGCACTGCATCAGCCCATTCTTCAACTGTAGGTGACTCTAATTTTAACCATTGTTTTGTAATTACTTTTTTACTAGTTGCCATAAGAATAAATAACAGTTGCCTGTCTTTATTATTCAATTCATCTAAATTTATGCTACCTAAATATAAAGATTTACAAGTGAAAGCAATCTCTACTTCAAAAATGGTGTCTAAATGTATTTCCAGTATGGGGTTAATTTCTGACAATCCCAAAAAAACATGATTATGTTTAGCTACTTTTCTCCCACACATTCTCCAGCAGCTAGTGTCCTTACACTAATTAACTAAGAGTTAATTCACCCACAAATGAAAATTCTGCTATTAATTATTCACCCTCACGTTGTTCCCCTGTTTATCTTCAAAACACAAATGAAAGTTTTTGAAATCTAAGAGCTTTCTTGTCCTCCATAGACAGCAATGGCCCTGAGACCAAAGTTCAAAGTCCAGAAAGGAAACTCAAACCAGTGCATGAGACTAATCATACAATGGTCCTAAAACAAACCCTGTTAATATGACTTTGTCTGCATCTTTTCTCCCGCGTCAGGTCAGGATGTGCTTTACTATGGGCAATAGTGACAAAGGGGAAGTGAAAAAGTCATACTTCTACAGTTTTTGACACACACAAGTGTTTTTGGAGCTTTATATGATTACAGTTGAACCACCGAAGTTACCTAGAATGTTTTGGCAATGTTGTTGGCTTCTTTTTCTAGACTCTCATGACTACTGCAGTCCATGGAGACCCAGAGAGCTCTTGGATTTCATCTAAAACATTTTAATTTGTGCTCTGAAGATGAATTAATTTTTCAGGACTGTTTAAAAAGTCTAATATATTGATACTAAGGGTGCTTTCACACCTGTAGATCGATTGTTTTCTTTTGAAACAGGGATTAAAATTGTACATTATAGCTCTTTGTTCTTGGTGTGGTTCGCTTTCACACTGCAAAGTTTTTAAAGGGACCACAATAGCTAAAACAAGTCACATGGCATGGTTTATTTTTCAGAGTCCCCAGTTTAATTTATGCGCAGTAAGACATATGCAAAAGCTGCACTTTAATTTTGAATGGTGACACTCACAGACATCATCACCAAATATAAATCAGAAGTAAGACTTTCTCACACAAAGAGAAAGTCTAGAAAGGCTAGAATTATGCATTATAGGCTTTACATTAAAGAGAGAAATAACAGATAAATCAAGACTGCAGTTCTCGTTTATAGCTTAGCATGCTTTCACATTTGTATTTAACTCGAAACGCACATTTACTGGTAAGAATGACATCCCTAGGCATATATATATATATATATATAATGATATCAGTAATACACTGTGATATATTTTTATTGTCTTATTCAATCCACCCTAGACCACCTCATCCAGGCAATATCAGGGTGCTTTCACACCTACACTTTTGTTTCAGAACATGTCTCGATTGCCCAGTTAGCGCGGTTCGTTTGGCATATGTGAACAGGGCAATCGTGCTCTGTTCCGCGCCAAAGTAATCGCTCCGAGATCGTTTGAATGAGGTGGTCTCTGCTTGATTGAAACGAACCCTGGAGCGGTTCGATTGCAGTGAGAAAGCGATCCGATCCGAGCGCGGTTATATCACAGTGTTTTATGGATATGTAATAGGCATACGGCTATATGAAGAGAGAATTATGAGCATGGCGGGAAGTTTCGCGTAGCTCCGGATGCCCGCAAACGAGTGATGATCTCCCAGTAATCTCGCGTCTCCCTCCCGGTCCTCAAGTAAGCGAACCGCTCCAAGAGCAAAAAGCAACAATGTAACAATTGTAATCTCTGTTTCGGAACAACTGAATCGATTCACAGGTGTGAAAGCACCCTCAGACCGATTGTTTTGCCGCAGATCAGAACACGATTGCTGGATATACGTATACGAACCGCGCTAACTGAAGAAAGCACCCTAAGACCCAAAAATCTATTTTCAGAGGGAGTGGTACGGTACGATATGGGGCACCTTTATCAGGCCTTCGTTTCCACTGCTAAAATGGTACCATTGGTACTCTTTTGGTGGGCGTGGTGAACAACAAAAAGTTGCAGTCGACATCATTCTTGCTCGAGGAAATGCTCACAAAAAGGTTGCTTTTTACACATAAATACTTGTGTATAAATGTTCATTATAACCCTTACTATGAACATGATTTGGTTATAACTGCAGATCAATGGTAGTGCAAAATAGCCTACTGTAATGTCTGCCATTATATAAAATACATAAATAAATGCAACATATATGTAAAAGCAAATATAGACTCTTACAGTGTCTGATATGTTACCAATTACAGAGAAACTACACACAGGATACATTTAGTCCTTATTTGGGTTCAAAAACAACACGAAACATAGCCCACAGTCAGTGCAAACCTCTCATCTGTATCTTTAATCTTCACCAGCACTTGTGACCTCTTGTTAGAAAGTAATTCCGTCATTCTGAGTTTATAATAGTCCAAAAGGTGATGATAATAATTAAACATGGCAGTTTGTTCATGTTTTAGGTTGCAGAAACAATCATTTGCTCCTTTGTTTTGACGGGCTTCTTCTTTTCTGACAGGATCGATGTCAGAAGCACTTCAATAATTACGCGCACAGTATTATTAACAGCCCAAGAAGTTTGTCGTTTAAAAATATTGATGCGAGCGCAAATGAGAAAGTGAAACCGCTCACGTTTTACACGGCCTTGTAAAGAATCTGGTGTGCAGAGTAGATTCTGCTTTTCTTCTTGGCTTTGGGCCTTTCATCAAGACGACGACAAGGTTTGTTTGAGCTCAAGCTCAGTCTAAAATCTGTCATTATAATTGCTTTAATTACACCAGTCTAACAGAACACTGACCTGATTGGCAAACAACAGGCTGCATGTAGTCGTGTCATTTGGGTTCTTGGTGATGTCACGAATCAGCTGCAACATTGGCGTAATGCCTACACAGAGGAGAACCAATGCATTCATTGATCATACGGCTTCAATAAGACCATAAATGAGATGAAAGGCTTTGTACCTGTTCCTCCAGCAATAAGACCCAGAGATTTTACAGTCTTGGTCTCTGCAGGGGCCTTCTTATCGGCCTGTATATCCAAGCGACCTGTTGGGTGGAGATGTAGATACAGGTGTCACACCTAACTGTGTAAACACTTCAATTGAGGCCCAATATTGACAGTGAATTTGCAGTCAGACCTGCGCCCTTGTACTCCAGCAAACCTCCTGGTCCTCTGAAGTCAATCACATCTCCGATCCGCAAACTCTCCAGGTATTGGGACATCTTTCCCCCTTCAGGAAACTTTGGGTGCACATCCCTAAAATAAATCTGCAGAGGAACATACATCAGTTCAATTATTACAATCTAAAACCCCAGGAGCTTTTAAGAGAAATATAGACCTTCACGACTAGATCAACGAATCCTTTGTCATCATCGCTGGACACCGGTGTGTAAGGACGCACAATCAGATTCCCATCAATCCTGGCAGAGAGATAAACATGCTTGCCTTGAGAGAGAAACACAGAGAGAAAGAGGATAATTAATAGTCCACACACATCCCCAGTGTTTCCATCAAGTACCTGTTTACAGCACGTATGAGATCACCAGTGGAGACAGACTGAATAAGGCTCAAAACAGGTTTCAAATAGGTCTAATTTTGTGACATACAATATGATATGCTGCTATTACCTTTGTGATTATTATGCTCACCAAAGCTGCATTTATTTGATCACAGTTATAAACAATATTAGGATATTGCAAGATAATACAACGTACAATAACTGTTAGAAAACTCATGCTAAAGAAACATTACTTTTATTTTAGAATTCTGATTTGCTTTTTAAGAATTGTGTTAGAAATCATTTTAGGATTGTGTTGTTTTAGAATTAGGATTTAACATTTTAGAATGCCTTATAGAGTTATATTTGTTTTAGAATTCTGAGCTTTCACATTAGATTTCTATCATAATCTGTAATTCTCTGTTTATATTTGACAATTCTAAGTTCCTATCTTAGAAATACTTTTATAATTGTGTGTTTATGTATTATAATTCTGTGTTTACATGTTAGATTTCCTAATTTTCTTCTTTTCTACACTTTATAATTTAATTTTCTGTTGTTATTTTATAGTTCTGAGTTCATATTGGGTTTGTGTTTACATTCTTAGTTTAAATTTTTGAATGTTTTTGCAGAATTCTGAGTTGATATTTTTCTACTTTAGAATTGTCTACGTAACTTGTAATTCTAAACATCCTAGATTATGTTTTAGAATTCTCTATAGTGTTCAATTTTGAGTTTATATTGTAGAAATCAGTTTCTTAAAAAAATATTTTTATATATTACAATTCTAACTTCACATTTTAGATTTCTGTGTTTTTGCATTTTACAATTCTGAGTTTATATTTTAAAATTCCTTCTAGAAATCTGTGTTCATGTTTAGTAATTCTGAGTTTACATTTTGGATTTCTATTGTTATTTATAATTTTCTGATTGTATTTTTGAATTCGGAGTTCATACTTTAGATTTCATTTAAAATTTAACTCTACATTTTTAGAATTTACTTTTCACGCTTACATTTTAGAATTCTACTTTAGAATTTTTTTTAATTTGGAATTGAGAGTTTATAGCCCCTTTCACACAGTGATACCGGTAAATATCTGGAAAATTTCCGGAAAGACTTTACCGGTATATTGAAAAAAGCGCTGTTCACACAGGCGAGGACGTTACGGAAATTTTCCGGAAAAGAGCATTCACACATCCATTCCAAAATACCGGTAAATTCTGACATCATTCACCACAAATGAGCTTTAAACGGCTGCGCTTGTATTTGTAAACATTTGACTAAATTACAAACTCTGTAAATGATCAATATTGTGAACAACTTTCGCAGGATCACTTTCGCATGTCGAGATGTTATGTGCGTAAATATGTGCGTAAATATGTGTGTAATATGTGCGTGTGCTGGCGCTCATAGGCGCACGCAAAGCTTGAAGGTAAACAAACAACGGCTTATCATAAGCATCTCATCGATGATTATTTACACAGTTGGCATTAAGAAGAACATATAAACGTGATCTGACTAACTTCTAGCAGCTAAATGTGTCTGGAAAAATATTCAAAGGCTTTTATCCTCACAAACCGCGCGGACGTAAATGCGTCTGACTGTTGTGATTGGCTAAAGCAGACGTTTCACGTCAGCACGTTCTAGACGTGCACGCGCTTATTACGGGAATCTTCCTTCTGCATTCACACAGCGCAGCATTCCGGCAAATTGCCGGTAATGTTACAACTTCTCTTTCCGGAAAATAGCCAGAACGAATTTACCGGTATTTTCAAAAAGGACCTGTTCACACATACAACCTTTCCGGAAAATTGCCGGTAATTTTCCGGAAAGGTCTGTATGTGTGAAAGGGGCTTATATTTTAGAAATTGGTTTCTTATAAATTCTTTTTGTATTTTAAAAATCTAATTTTACATCTTAGACTTAAGCATTTATATTTTACTTAATTCATATTGTAGAATTCCTTTTAGTATTATGTGTTTATTCTACAATTCTCTTTGTAATGTCGAATTCTGAGTTTATATTTTAGAAATCGGTTTCTTCCTTGTTTTATAAATTCTCTCTTTACATTTGAGATTCATGTGTTGATATTATAGAATCATGTTAAGTTATTATTCATGCTCTCTGGACCACATTTACACATGTATTTAATGCCTGTGAATACTCTAAAGTAAATGTGTATGGTTAAACAAGCAGCTTTTCGAGTCCTAAGCTCATTTATCATTTAGCACACAGTCCTTATCCAAAGCCGCCAACACGACAGGACAGGTGTGGGATTTCAGCACATTCAGACCAAACCCTGTAACCTTTGTATTAGTAGCAGAGAAAACAATCAACCAACCAGACTACTCACCCACTGGTAATCCCAAAACATGCTCTGGACTAGGCAGGGCGAACCGAAATCTCCGGGTATCATGACTTATGATCTGTAGGAAAAGAAAAAAATGTAGATTTGTTAGTAAATCTAAACGGTCTCAAAATAAGACATAGTAAGACAGGGCCAATACCTCTTTGTCTACTAGTCGCAACTTGTATTTTTCAGAAGGATCAATTAGGGTTATGAGTATTTTCCTCTTCCTGTTGAAGTAATAATAACCCAGGAGCCCAGCTGTTGACACCAGCACCACTCCAACCGTCACTGCTACTGTGGTGGACTAGAATACACATATGTGAACATAAGCACATTAACGAAATGCTGAAAATCGATTAACAATTTAATAGATTTTCAGCCTATTTTTTTGTGAACACCATATCACAATAAAAGCAAAGAAAAAGTACAAAAAAATAATAAGTAAAAATATAATTAATAAATAATAGAATTAATAAATGTTCAATTAATTTAAATGAATAAACATAATAATTTAAATAAACAAACAAAAAATAAAGAAAAATAATCAAAGTAAATACTTAATGAAATATTTAATTCACACACACAATAAAACACAGATAAGCACAATAATCAGATCACAGTTCTCTGTAATGCAAACATCTGCACAGACAAAATACAAATGTCAGAAACAGATATTTGCACAAATATATGACCATACATCAATATAAATTATTACAGCATTTTAAAACATTAAAAGGGTTACGATTCATTACTAACCAAAATAATTATTCAAAACTATTTTTAATATTTCAAAGTATAAATTAAATAAATTCTTGAACAAACATTTTAGGATCGTGGTTCCTCGCACTAGATTGCTCATACTTGGGGATGAACAGACTGGCAGATTGAAAACCTCTGCTGTAAACAATTATTAAGTCATTTGCACATGCAGATAATAGTACTTTAAAATATCTCAGCATAATGTCAGGAGCTACAGGTAATAAAGTGTTAGTTTACTTAAAAATTAAAATTCTCTTATTAATTACTCACCTTCCACTTATTATTTACCAACTAGAAACCTTTGTTCATCTTTGGGACACAAATTAGGATGTTTTAGACAAAATCCTTACCCATAAAAAAAACAAAAACACTTCCTCTAAACTCACCATACATAACTTGAACAGTGGTTCAGTCGAAATATTATGAATACCTTTGTGAGCAAAAATAATGACTTTATTCAACATTTTTTAAAATATAGGGCCGTGTGACCAAGCGCAACATACATAAATAGCGCAGTGCTCCCGTGAATGTGTGCTACACTGACATCTGCGCATGTATACAGCATTCTCGTAGCTTGATAACTGTGCGTTCACACCGAAGGTGGTAAGAGCGTCAAAGTTTGCTCTGGCGACAATGCTGTCTGCTCACTACTCTGCCAGAATATTTGCTACATTGATGTCTACTTTTAAAAGGGCAGCATATCAGCAACATTACCACATAAAAAACATGCTGTCTAGCATGAAAATGTTATGCAGTTTTTATCAAATTTATTTAACTAGTCGTTGCGTGCTATATTCTGATTGCTTGCCGCTGAACCCATCATAGTTCATTACCATAGAATTGACTTGATTTTAACTCTTCTCAACGCCCACACCAGCGATGACGTGCCGCTCCTCGCCACTGGCTCCCATTGAAAATGAATGACTTCTGGCTACTTTGATACCCTCGTTGCCTTCGGTGTGAACCGGGTGTGAACGCGCAGTAATACTCTGATTGAACCACTGAAGGCATACAGTAATGGCCAGTTTTGAGGATGTTATTTGGTATTGTTCTTGAGTCATGAGCATTGCTGTCTCTGGAGGATGAGGGAGCTCTCAGATTTCACCTAAAATATAACATTTGTGTTCTGAAGATGAACGAAGGTCTCAGGGATTTGGAAGACATGAATTAGAGTAATTAATAGCAGAATTTTTATTTTTGGGTGAAATAACCTTTTAATTTTGTTTGTATGTTAAACAATAACAAAAGTTGCTGGTTTATATTTTATAAGTCAAAGAAAATCTACTTTAAATGTTTTGCTTGAGAAAAAAAAATCATATTGGATGTCCTGGGCGAGCAATCTTTCGTTCTTATAGGGTAAGCTCCAGGATGCGAATTACAGGGGGCTTTGGGGCCCCTGAAGGAGGTCAAAACAAGATGTATGGGGGGTCAGCCGTTTAAAACCGAGAAATAATTCACTCTGATCTGTATTTTAAATAATAATTGTAATAATTAAAACAATATATATTATAAATATACATTTGACCACTATTATTAATGCATAACTGCGTCAATCAATCTATTCGAGAAAAAAAAAAGTCTGAAAGGTGGCAGATGTAGAGCACCGATAAGTTAGACAAGACTTTGTTTTCTCTAATAATATGGGTTTGTATCTATATTTAGCCTGAAAATGAAACCTAATTAGACGCATAGTTTGTAGTTTAACCTGCAGTGACAACTGAAATAGCTAATCAGAGAATGATGTGGGTCAGACTACACTAAATATCCCACAAAATGCTGAAAACTGAAAAACGTTTTATTAATGAACTAACGTTAGATGCATTTAAAAATACACACATAAATGACTGAAGTGTTAAACTAACCGAAACAGTTGACCTGATCGCCAATCTACAACTCGCACACTAGCTCTAACGTTAAGTTAAATATTAAATGTAACTGATCACCAAACAACCTAACAGAAAACAATTAATAAACGCTAAAGGGCGTTGACTGATTAGAACAAACCAGTCAGAAAATGACAAAGATCTTCTGCTGTTAAACGCTTAAATGAATCATCTGTATTTCCTAAAATAAGCCCTGACGCTTCTGCTGTGGTATGCCAAAGCAGAAAACATTATTCAGTTCATCACTGCACAAACACACCAATTAAATACAAAAGACTTAATAGCATATCTTCAATTTAATAGCATGACAAGTCAATTTGCTGTGCGCTGCTGAAGAACGGATAAGCAGGAATGCTGTCAAACAAACTTGGTCAAATGCCAAAGCAGTAAGTTATCCTGGTGCGTATGTGTCTGAATTATAGTAGATAGCTTCAATTAAACTTTAGTGTTGCTCTATAAACCTTTATGACTTACCATCGCGTAGCTCATGACGAGGGATAGACTACAAGCGTAGGTCAGAGAAAACCTTCAGACTAAACATTTATTTTGTCGACACACCCATGAACATGCAGACGCACAGCTGTGTTGGAGGAAAACCACGACGCGTAGTCATTGCGCAGAAAAGAAAATGCTGGGAGAATGCATCGCGTTCTGCGTATTGCTATCCACATTATTATGATATCTAATGCATGTCTTGTCACCGGCGTCTCTCTCAACAACCGGAAAGCATTTAAAACAGACTGAAATAAAAGTCCTATAATTTTCATTTGTTTGAGTTCATTAATTACATGAAATGAGATTCATATTAATTTTGAACTATATTTACATTGAACATGAATTCGTCTTCAAATTCAGAAATATGGATTACAAAAGAATTTACTCAGTCTTTCTGTTTAGTTGAATATTAACACTAAACAGCATAATGCATACCAAATCGTTTTCATCCATTCATTTTTCTTCAGCCTGGTCCTTTATTTATCAAGTGTCGCCACAGTGGAATGAACCGCCAACTATTCCGGCTTAGTTTTATTCAGCGCATGCCCTTTCAGCTGCAACCCAGTACTGAGAAACACCCATACACTCTCATTCCCACACATTCATACACTACGGCCAATTTTATTTATCCAGTTCACGTATAGCGCATGTCTTTGGACAGTGGGGGTAACCGGAGCACCTGAAACCCACGCAAACATGGGGAGAACATGCAAACTTCATACAGAAACGCCAGCTCAAACCAGTGACCTTCTTGCTGTAAGGCGACAGTGCTCACCACTGAGCCATTGCTGCCCCTTAATTGTTTTAGAAAATAAAAGGACTTTCTTAATTATGAAATAATAAATACTCTACTTGTAGAATAATTTGTAATAAGGTCATAATAAGATAATTTGCAAAACTTTAGTAACTTTAATCTGCATTTTTTAACATTTTGGAATCAAACTACATTTTGCTTAGATTATACACACACACACACACACACACACACACACACACACACGCACGCACGCACACACACACACACACACACACACACACACACACACACACACACACACACACAAAAACATTAACGTAATCAGTTAATAAAACATACTGAATATACAATATAAATACTTTCTATAATCAATATAAAATGTAGTTATTAAAAAAGTGTTTTCAAGATCTTTTCTATAAATGTGCAACAAATCAAATATGAAAAAAACGAACAACTAAAATGTTTCAAATTAAATTCAAATTAAAAAATAACCTCTCCAGGTCAAGGTCAACCTTATTTATATAGCACCTAAAAACAACATGAATGTTGACCAAAGTGCTTTACAAACATGGCAACAATAATAAACCATTTGAGAGACACGACAATACGTGCTGCAATAAAATTGAAAAACAAAACATAAAAATCTGTTTAGTCAATGAGTCCTAAAAAATAAATTTCTATCAATAGGCCAGAGAAAAGAGGTAGGTTTTGACTGATTAAAAAAAAAAAAAAACACTTAATGTAGATGAAGATCTAATTTCTAAAGGTAATGTGTTCCAAAGTTTTGGAGCATAGATAGAGAAGGCTCTGGAGGATCTTATTTTGTTTTCAAGTGGGATTAAAGAACAATTAGAAAGAGCTAAGCTAAAGACCTGAGGGATCTTGGGGGAAAATACAAACTTCAAAGTTCAGATTTATAGGCTGGGGCAAGGCCATGTAGAGCAGGGCTATTCAATTGGCGGCCCGCGGGCCAAATTCGGCCCTCCAATTAGTGTGACCAAGACATCAAAAATAAATTTCAATCAGACGAAAAACAATCGCTATAGTTATGAAGTGACGTGCATCTGTTCAATACAGCACGAGCTGAGTCACCATAGGCGAGAGGCGTGGGCTGCCGTTTCAGTGCAATGTAAACAAAACATGTTGGACTAATTATTTTAAAATGATTTTGTGTGTATGAACGCAGATAACAACAACAACAGTTCATCTAAATAGCTACTTAGTTAATATAAAGCTTAAATTTACATTAGATTTGATAACCATGAAACCATGATAATTCTTCAGACTATAATCGTACAACCAAACTCTATAATTGTTGCATCCAATATTGTTACGCAGTTCAAAACATACCATATGATTGTGTCTGAAAGTAGAAGAATCCTGCTTGTGCAATGCACTGCTTTTGTTGTGCTGTAAAATACAACATTTGAATAAGTTTATAAAAAACCTATTGTACAATGCACTGATATTATGTAGTTTCAAACTATACCATGGTAACGTTTTAATGTAGAAAAAGCCAGCGTGGGTGTCTTAAGGAGCAAAAATACAACATATGGGCTCTTATATGCTGTTGTGTCACTCATATTGCCAGTCATATGTCTCTGGCCCTTAGTTTGGGATGCTTTTCATGAACTGGCCCCCATGATAAACTAATTGAATAGCTCTGATGTAGAGGTTTGTAGCTAAAGTTTTCCTCTAAATTCTTTGTCTAGAAATGTATCTTTGTTTAGAAATGTAATATTCATTCATTCATTCATTTTCTTGTCGCCTTAGTCCCTTTATTAATCCGGGGTCGCCACAGCGGAATGAACCGCCAACTTATCCAGCACGTTTTTTATGCAGCGGATGCCCTTCCAGCCACAACCCATCTCTGGGAAACATCCACACACACATTCACACACACACTCATACACTACGGACAATTTAGCCTTCCCAATTCACCTGTGCCGCATGTCTTTGGACTGTGGGGGAAACCGGAGCACCCGGAGGAAACCCACGCGAAGGAAAGGAGAACATGCAAACTCCACACAGAAACACCAACTGAGCCGAGGTTCAAACCAGCGACCCAGCGACCTTCTTGCTGTGAGGCGACAGCACTACCTACTGCGCCACTGCCTCACCTAGAAATGTAATATATTTATTAATAAAAAAGCTAATTTTGAACTAAATTTAGATTTTTTTAAGTTCATTTGTCTTTAAATTCAGAAACAGAATTGAGATGGTCATTCTATTTAGTTGAATTTTGATGCTAAACAACATAACGCAGTTTTAGAAAAGAAAATGTTTTTGAAAAATGTGAACAATCATTAATTAATTTGTGAATAATGTGATCTATCTAAATAATTTATGATGAATTAATTTGCAAAACAGTAACTTTGCATATTTAATATTTAAGTATAAAATTTTGAACTCAAACTACATAATTCAGATTACATGTAACCCGTTATCACATTGCACTAAATATAATATAAAAATACTTTTTATAATCAAAATAAAATGTAGTTTTAAAAAGCATAAGAGACGTTCACACATCTTTCAAATATAACAAAATAACAAATGCTTAAAAATAAACTTTAAATAAAAATGTCCTGCAAATTCTGTCTAGAAATGTGATTCATTTATTAATAAAAATGCAAAACCATATGAAATTCAAATCGTGTCAGTCATTAAATGGCCCAAAATTCCACATACTTACTTTATAGAAAAAAATCAATGATTATCTACAATTCAACCACATTTAAGAACACTTTACAAAGATTATATTAGCGCTCAAAGCTGTTTTAGGATATCAGAGCCTATTCAAAAGCACATCATTTCATACATTATTTTCCCTTCTATCTTCCCAATTCTTTGATGCTCAAACTATTATCTTTTTAACATAATTGCGGACATTGACGTGGAGCTGACCGGAGGTGGCAGAAAACATCTCTATCGCCAAGGCCTTCGTCTCCTCTGATCCGTTCCAAAGCGCCCGATACACAGGCAAAGTGTACTTCTGCTTCCCCTGCAAGCATTCATTTTTTAGGTAAAAGTCAGTCGATCATTTACCTGAATTAATTTTAAATAAAGTAGAAAATCTGACCTGGCTTGAGAGGAAATCCCGAATGTGCTGGAATCCTGGACTATACTGGTTTTTTGCAACAATCTGAGCCCATCGCACTTTCAGCTCCGCGTTGTTGGACTTAATGATCTGAGAGTAGCACTCTTCAAGCTTCTTCAGGTTACCTGTTAATAGGGGGCGAATACTTATTCACAATCTGTTGAAAATACTTACAATTTCTCTAGAAGCACAAGGAGGGATCTGCACCATCAGGAAGAGGTGACTTCTCAAGGATCCTGTCCAAGAAGTAGACGGTCTGGTAGGTCTTCCATGATTTTAAATCAGTTTTGCAGATGGATTCCAAGTCCAGGTTATGGCTGAGCCACTTCTCTGCTAACAGCTCGGCTGGTTTCATCAGAGTCTGGCCGGCGGAGAGGTCAGGGACATATGGAGGCCAACCAGGAACATTGAGCCAGCTGTCAAAATCTAGACCTGCTGAAACAAGCACAGCTGATGACAAAATACTGTCTGACCAAAGAGTGCCAATTCAGACGAGGCTTGTGATTTCGAGGCAAGAAGTGCTGCTTATGGTCACCCTCAATTTTGTGGACGTTCCTCTCCTTTAACTCTGGGAAATACTCCAGGTAAAACTCCAGCGCATCCTCGGCCAGCACACTTCTGAACTTGAACTTCTCCACATAAGCCTTGAAGAGACACAGTCACTGTTTTGACATGTTTATCAGCACGTTTTTATTCTACTCAAGTGTCTTTTAGGATTTTACACATCATTTACATTGACACAATCTACATTGTAAAAGCGCTATACAAATAAAAGTGAAGTGAATTGAATTTAGATCAGTGTTTCTCAACCACATTCCTGGAGGACCACCAACACTGGATGTTTTGGATTGGTTTAGATTAAATGGAGAAAATAAAATGATCTCTGCGTTGTTGTGAAATCTATGTTTAAAATAAATGTTGTTCTTAAGAACTTTATATTTATATAAGAAGCCAGAAAAATGTATCATGGATTCCACAAAAATATGAATAACCGTTTTCCACGTTTACAGTATAATAACAGTTTCCTGAACACCAAAGATGGATATTAGAATCAAACCAAATCCAACTCAACACAATTAAATTGCTAATATGCTGAAATAATATAAAATACTGTGATTCGATGAAAAGCTAATCGACGGAAAGAATTTAAGCAGCTTTGACAAATGATAGTTTAAGATCTACAACAACTGAACTAA